TGGTTTGTCAAGACGGTTTTTTAGTATTAACAGGCCACTGTGATAAAGCTGGGAAATTGCTGAGTGTGTCATTAGACAACAAACAAGTATTAACATTGAATACACCTGCTACTCAGCAGGACTTACCAACCCTCAGAGCTCTATATAAGCCACGTATCTGCATATAATTCACAACATACATCAGAAAGCCCACTTAATTTGTGTTTCTTATGTAATAATATGCATGAAAATTTCAAAAAGCCAATCGTAGAACAACTCTGCAGGATTTCGCCAAACTTGGGCTTTTCAACTTGCACACCTGAATATTTTCCCACATTGATGTTCACTGATCGAATGCAGGCATCACCTTTTCATAAACTCTATAGAAGTGAATAAGGCTCATGAAAGTGATGAGGTGGTGGTGAAATGGTGTTTAACGTCGTGTCCAAGATTATTGCACTTATATAGCGACTGCATGTACGTGTGTGTGTTTGTGTGGCTGCTTGTACTAGTCCGGACTGATGCCGATTTATAGTGCTAGCTCACTGAGATACCATGCCACAGTTTAACATGAATAGCCCACTCAGACACAGTATACTGACTCCGAGCTGACCAGTCCTTGTTTTAGCCCCTTAATGCCGAGCGCCAGACAGGGTAACAACAAGTACCATATTTTAACGTCTTTTGGTATGACGTGGTCGGGGATCGAACCCCGGACCTTCCGCTCTCCGTCGGACGCTCTACCACTAGACCACGGAGGCGGTCCTGCTCATAAAAGTGAATAATGCATGCAAGCGATGCATCTCGCTCGCTGCAACTAAGACATGTATCACAGTGGTAAGCTCAAGCAACATTAGGGCAACAAACGACAGAATTAGAAGTTACCTGAAACAGCATTTCAACCAGGATTATTTCAAAAATGTTTACCAACTAGATTTAAAATACCCAAAGACTAGATTCAAAGGAGTTAAAATGTATTGAAAACCCCAAGACAATGATAAAAAATCCAACATGAATGAAAATATGCTGGGGAATACTCAATGACTTAAAGAATCATCTGGAGGCCTGACCTCCAACATGTTTTTCATAATGTTCATCCTGACCCAAACGAAATAATAAAAACTAAAAATATTTCACTGTCCTCCCTTACCAAAGATATTCTTTCCAGGGATCCACCGAACAAAACACCAACTCCATTGTTTCGACACAACAGAATCAAGATGGTAGACTTCTTGTCTTCACAGTTTTTCAAATGCTGACAAATAGTACGTGCACTTGGCGTCATTTAACATCACGATACAAGATTGGACATGAGTCACTTATTGACAGTTTTCCGACTTGCTAGATCACTACATTCAAAACTTTTAGCACACCTTGTATTTCAGCGTTAGAAAATAGCACCAGTCCTAGAGTGCTTGCCAAACTGTCCAAGAATTAACGTATCATAAGGACAAGTAGAAATGTGCCTTTTAAAGGGTTTTGCTATATGTTATCATTATTAGGACTAGTTGAATAAACATTTAGTTTCTATCGCTGTATTTGCAACACAACTGATTGTGAGGTAAAATAAAAACAGTATCATTCAGGTAACATTTATGGAACGGTAAAAAAAATCATTTTACCCTGGTGAATATGTACTCATACAACCCTCTGGCGAGTACACACAGGTTTTACAACCTTCTGGTGAGTACACACAGGTTTTACCCTTGTGAGTGAGTATGGTTTTACGCTGTTTAAGCAATATTCCAGCAATATCATGGCAGGGGACACCAGAAATGGGCTTCACACATTGTACCCATGACAGGAATTGAACCCTGGTTTTCGGCGTGATCAGCGAACGCTTTAACCACTAGGCTACCCGATTGCCCCAGTTTTACCCTGGTGAATACGTACACATACAGGCCTCTGGTGAGTACACACAGGTTTTACCCTGGTGAATACGTACACATACAACCTTCTGGTGAGTACACACAGGTTTTACCCTGATGATTACGTACACATACAACCCTCTGGTATATACCATGTTTAGTGAGTGAGATGGGGTTAAGAATATCTACAATCATTGTCACAAGGCTCTCGTCTGTGCAGGTTATAACGCCTTTGGGGCTTGTCCACTGCAGGTCAAACATATCGCTGAACCGAACATTTAGTCACTGTAGGCCAAACCTGAAGAGCAGAAAGATAATACCTTTCTGGCCAAAGTAGGGTGAGTGAGGTTTAATGCCTCCCTATCCCAGCCAGCTCATCACAGCTAGAGACACAAGAACTGCACTTGACACATTGTACTCATGTGGGAATCAAACATGGACCCTTGGCATGGCAAGTCAATGCTTTAACCACTAGGCTACCCCACTGTCCTTCCTCAACTAGCCTACATAATGTGATGATGTCACTGCATTGTGTGATGATGTCACTGCATTGTGTGATGATGTCACTGCATTGTGTGATGATGTCACTGCATTGTGTGATGTCATGCATTTTTCTGATGACATTACATTGGGCACAAATGATATAGGACACAATGAAGACCCTGGCATCTAACATGATCCAACATATGAAGAATCGACTTTTAAAAACCTGATCACTAAACCTCGAGACTAATAACGTCCCTAGCTCCTATCAGCTATCATTGTTACATGATCACACACGATATCATATTTGTGTCTCAAAAGTAAAATGTCAAAAAGATTCTCTTGAACACAACTAGTAACATGGTATTTACATTAGTGTATCCATGGTAACAAAAGTTTCATAATTCATTGACATTTATTCAGAAATTCAAGAATAAACAGATGGGCCATTAACATGAGTAACAAACTATGTACACACGCCTAGGGGTAGATTAACATCTTGTCTCTGAAATTAACATATTTTACAGGAAATAACAGTTGTTCAATTATAGCTATAACAAATAATAAAAAGGAAAGGATTGTCTTCATTTTTCTGATACTAAAGTAATCTAGACTTGCCAAATATTATAGACTTGCATGGGCTGTACTGGATATATTTGTTTCAGGGTCTGTATGATAGACTAGCCTAGGGATTTATCTCAATTTTAAGTTTCATAACACAAAGGCTAATTGTTTAAATATCAGATTTTTTTAAAAGACCAAAAATACAGCTTTCTGCAGAATGCACACATCTGCCAATCATAGTCCCACATCAACATTAATTTCAACACTTTTAGATGAGTGACATTTCAATATTCTGAAATCTGGGGCTGTTAACATTTCTTCTTTTTCAGTGAACTTTTTCATAAAAACTGATGTCACGTGCTTAATGACTTTCTTGTACCCCTGGATTTTGAAACATTTGTCCACATTTAAAAGAAATTTGAAATACGAGGAAAACAACCAATGAATGTTCAGTAATCGTTTTAGAAGTTTTCACTTTGTTATATGTCATATAAGATCTATATCAGAATTGTGTAAAAAGAAAGTTCAACACAAAAAAATCTATTAACCGAAATACGAGGCATCATATCGGCCTGTGGCAATCAAACAAAAGACATTTAGTTACAGTACAAAAAAGTGCTGTTTACCATTACCTCACAAATCCTCACATCACCATTTTTATCCGATACTATTTTTCAGCTGGATGGCATAAATGAACAGGACATTGTTTGTATATTAATCTTTGGGGCACACTAAACAAACTAATACTTTTTTATCCACAAAATTAAAAAAAACATTGATTTGGTTTGTTTATATATTATTGTTTTTAAACATGGGTCAATGCATCGCTCCATATTAACTGTCCATGGATGTGATATACCATGAGTGAGTATGGTTTTACGCCACCTTTAGCGATATTCCAATAATATCCCGGCGGGGGAACAGTGGGAACACACATAGAATTCTGATGTCTCATATCATAACTGAAAATTATTTGGAACCACAACAATTTCATGGGTTTTGAAGGTGTTAAACCACAAATAAAATACTAAAACCAACTTCTCTGATTGATAGCCTTAATCATGCCAATGGAGGAACTACTAACACTATCAGGCTTATTACTCCGATGTTATACAACCAAGAACCCAAGACCGACAGAATATGTGATCTTAGAAACATGTCTTTATACAATATATTAAACAGATTAACATTAAATTACATGTTTCATATTGATTTCAAAATTCAAAATAAATTCCTTTCATAATGAAAGAAGTGCTGGCCTATGTATATGTATGTAGAGCTGGGTTTTCCCCTTGTGGTTGAAATATCTTTGTGTGGACTAAGAGCGTTTGTTTATTTACTTAACACCTACCTAGGTAGAATGGCTCTGAGGATAGTCTTAATCAAAGGTTGTATTGATGACACCAATAAAACTGGTGCTATCTGACTACCCAGAGGATACATCGCATATCACACTTGTTCTGTGCATTTCACAATTTGTAGTTGTGATAACACTGGATTGAATATTCAACACGACCAATGACAGTTGTTTATTTACGTATCCTGATATACAAACGTGTGTGTTGAATATCAAGTATTAAAGGCCAATAACCGAGATTAACTCACACAGTACCATTACATATCGAGGCACGCGAGATTACACATGAACATACAACAATAGCAGCCTTGTCATAGATTTTCTAGCATCTGGGGATTAAATATTCATATCGCACAGCTGAAGATCAGATGCGGTGCCAGGTGTTCTGTTCTCGTGAAATCTCAGGAGGCATCGCGGGAAGCCCTCGTGCAGCAACAGTTGGACAATACAAGATGTGGAATAACAGATTTCGGAGAGGTACAAGACTTGGAGGATGCAGTCATTGGACCAAATCAACTTTGAGTGAAACAGTGGAAAAGATTATAGAGCGATCGGACACTGATATTCTAGCAGTAGCATAACAACAGGTTAAACTTGACATCCATGCCACGAGACACATTTATGATGGTCAATATCCAGTCGCACTGTCACGATTTCAGAAATTAATTTTGCAGATTTTGAAGAATTCTTATATACAATAGGCAAGGAGTTAGACAAAATGGCGACCCAAAAGCACGCCGCTGGCTTACCTTCTATTGCCTTGGTCCCACGGGCTTCCCTGGTTTGCCATATTGCCCGGCGTCTGCATGCTGCAGCCTTGACGAAGCTTCTCCCAAGTTACTGGTACTTTCCAAAAATCTTCAACACAATTTTGCGAATATACAATATCACCTTAAAACATACACACTGTCATTCTACTACGAGTGCTCTTTGTTGAGCTGGCCTCATCACTTGCAAATACATATTCCTCCGCGATGCGATATCAGCCATATTTCCCCTGTATATTCACCACTGTGCACTATTTCCTGCTCCAGTTCTTCAAGTTATAACTTTACGTACTTGTCGCTTTAATTACAGTGGGTGTATATGAAGAGATACAAAAATATGTTTTCACCTTAGGGTCTATTCTCAAACCGCGGACGTTGCGATCAAAAGTCGGTGTAAAGAGGCCAGTGTTTTCATCCTTTCTTCCTCGCAGCCATTGTAAGCCAAGGCCTGATTGGTGTGATTGACAGATAGACTCTGCGTCTCAACCAATCAAAACATGGCATAGTACAGTTCAACCAATCCTTGACTTTCATCCCGCGCGAGGTGTTGAGCTCACGTGCCGGGCTTATTGATCTCTTATAATAGACAGAGTGGATTTTAAATCGTCGCTTATCCGAGTATGCAGTTCAAGTTATGCACAATATAGACACTACACTAAGACTAGCCTCGCAGGTCGAGATTTGAAAGCCTTCGTTGCGTCTCGCTCGTGCCGGCCACGCGCTTGTGAGGTCATCTGATGTGAGATAGTTGGCGCGTGGTGCACGTGGCACGAGCAGTACCCGAGGGTGTTAATTACACCTGTCCGTTAATTACACCTGTGCTTATTCAGAATCATCAGCTGAGAATGAGATCTGTGATTGGTCGTTTTAAGTTCCTACTTGCTCATTTAAACGCCTGCCGTTAAAATTTGCGAAATTATTCGACTGTGTATAATGTACGTTTATTGGCTCAAATAATAAATCGATTGATTAATTAGCGACATATTTGCTGTTTTATTGCTAATTATATCGTTTGTTGTCCTTGAGGCATATAATTTGCTATTTGTTGATGATTGCCGATAAGAAAATACAATAAATTGATAGGTTAAACTATACTGACGAACAAAAGAAACGCAATAGCATTTTTGTTTGTTTATTTGTTGTTTAACGCCGCACTCAGCAATATTCCAGCTACATGACGGCGGTCTGTATATAATCGCGTCTGGACAAGACAATCCAGTGATTTGACATCATGATAATAGCATTTTTGGGATGAAAATGAATTTTATTTTCCTTTTGATATGATGATAATTTTATGAGATTTTCTGGTATGTAAATATAAGAAAAGTATATAGAATTGTATATATTTCTTGGTAAAATGAACATGGAATTTTAGGAGTTGACATAAAGTGTTACATATTTCATTTAACTCTTAATTAATTTTCAAACGGACTATTTTCAACAATACAGCCAGATGTCCATACTACTATAATACTGCTGATATTACCTACTACTACTACTACTACTACTACTACTACTACTACTACGACTACTACTACCCAGTTGCGTAGAACAATGCTCATGATGTCTGGTCCATACCCGATATTTTACAGACCGCCTTCATACAGCTGGAATATTGCTGAGTGAGTCGTTAAACAACAAACAAACTACTACTGCTACCTGCTAATACAACTACCACTACTACGAGTACTACCACAATTACTTTTACAAACTTGTATGAATATGGAAGGGTATTTTACAAAAGCTTTTAATAGGCATGTATTATACAATACATAATTGTTATTCCGAAAATACTCATTACCATTGTTCCAGCCACATCGCGACGAGAATTAGATATGGCATTGAAATAGATCATTAATACATCAAAGTATATGAATGCAATTTGTCAAACATATAATAATATCCCGGTTGATGTATCTTCACAAACACACCTGGATGTCCAACTGTCTCCGTTGTCTAGTGGTAGAGCGTCCGCCCGGAGAGTGGAAGGTCCGGGGTTCGATCCCCGGCCGCGTCATACCAAAAAAGTTAAAGCTGATACTTGTTGTTGCCCAGCCTGGCGCTCGGCAGTAAGGGGCTAAAACATGGACTGATCGGCTCGGAGTAGGTATAGTGTGCCTGATGGGTATTCATGTTAAACAGGGGCATGGTATCTCAGTGGGCAAGCACTATACTAGTCCGGACTAGTACAACAGCCACACACACACGTGCATGCGCAATGCTATGTAAATGTAATCTTGGACGCGACGTTAAACCCCATCTCACCTACCATATCGTCAGGCTCTTTGGCGAGCGAAATTAGCACGTGAAAACCACTAACAGCATTGATTGGGCTCGCGGGGCCTCGTTTGCCTTACAATCTCAAAGGCGTCGTATTTGCTGAACAGAGCCACGCCCCCCATTTACCAGGATCCGCTTGTCGTGGGTTTCCTATTCCAGACTATATTTAATGGTCAGCATCACACCCCGTGTTCGTGGGTGTCACCAAAGTGGTAAACATCTACGACCTGATTCACTTTCAGCTTTTATTCTTACGTTAAGCTGACATGCCGTGACGTAAGTAAAATATTTCTCAAAGCGGCGTTAGACCCAACTTGCTGTAAAAAAAACGTGCACAAGCTCACATGATTAGATCATGCACAGGAAGTTACAAGCTCCTCGCACCGATAACACTCCCCCGCCATGCACATCAAGATTGTTGATATGGCCAGCACTGATTGTTGCACTGTGGTTGAGTTTGGCCTCCAAGCGCGGACCCAGCCTTTTTCTCTTATTGGAGGGTTGTGATGAGAACGCATCCCCCATACACCTTCTGAACCAGCGCATGGCTTCTCATCTGCCCACGACTACGAGTGTGGCAACTACTGCCACGACTACCACTACTGCAACTGCTGTCACGACTACTGCCCCTATTACCATTGCTGCAACTACTGCCACGACTACAACTACTGCAACTGCTGCCACGACTACAACTACTGCAACTGCTGTCACGACTACAACTACTGCAACTGCTGTCACGACTACAACTACTGCAACTGCTGTCACGACTACAACTACTGCAACTGCTGCCACGACTACAACTACTGCAACTGCTGTCACGACTACAACTACTGCAACTGCTGTCACGACTACAACTACTGCAACTGCTGCCACGACTACTGCCACCATTACGATTGCTGCAACTACTGCCAAGATTACCACTACTGCAACTACTGCCACGACTACCACTACCACTACTACGAGAGCAGCAACTACTGCTATCACTATGATTGCTGAAACTCCTGCCATGACTACTGCTACCACTACGAGTGGAGTGCAACTACTGTTACGAATACGAATGATGCAACTACTGCCACGACTACTGCAATTACTGCGACCACTACGTATACTAAAAAAACTGGCACTGCTACGAGTGATGCAACTACAGCAACTTCTGCCACGACTACTGCAACTACTGCCACGTCTTATCACACAAGCCGAAAAAAGGTCAATCCATTCAGATTTCTACCTCTAAACTCTACCAGAAACAAAAATGATTGGAATTTTGATTAGAACATTTAATATAGTTTCCAAATCATTTGAAACCAAAGAAATGCAGTAGACGCGGGTGCAAGTGAACATTTTGATTCAGCTCCCTGAAATCCGTGTAAAATTGGAAATACACGTGCAGTATGACCACAGGTTGGTTGGTTGGTTTGTTGTTTAACGCCGCACTCAGCAATATTCCAGCTATATGACGGCGGTCTGTAAATAATCGAGTCTGGACCCGACAATCCAGATATTAATATCATGAGCATCGATCCACGCAATTGGGATCGATGACATGCATCAACCAAGTCAGCGAGCCTGACCACCCGATCCCGTTAGTCGCCTTTTACGACAAGCATAGTCACCTTTTACGGCAAGCATGGGTTCCTGAAGACCTATTCTACCCCGGAATCTTCACGGGTCGTATGACCACAGGAAGCATATGGGTATAAAAAACAGCTCTCAAAATTCGTCAATGCATCAGGACTCCAAAAATCAAACAGTAACGTGGCCACTGGCATACCAGTTGGGTTGGTTGGTTGGTTGGTCGGTTGTTGTTTAACGCTATTTTATTCCAGCTATATGACGACTGTCTGTAAATAATCGAACCTGGACAAGCAATCCAGTGATTGACATAATGTGCTTCGATCTACGCAGTTGGGATACGATAAATTTGGTTTCACAGTATTTTCAGATATTTCAAATATATTTTTTATGCACACAGCAATATTTCTACTGTATGATGGCGGTCTGTAAATAATCAAGTCTGGACCAGACAATCCAGTGATTAACATGAATCAACCAAGTCAGCGAGTCTGACCACCCGATCCCATTAGTCGCCTCTGACGACATGCAACAAGCTGGGCTGCTGAAGACCTATTCTATCCCGGATCTTCATGGGTGTGTTTGATCAGAGGAGTCTGAAGGCCAGGGATAATACTTAACATTAAGAACGAAATACGACTCATCAGTGAAAAGGACCCGTCTACACGGACGTGCTGTCCCCCGCAATGGTTGTCTGCACCTCCGGAGACGTCGGCGTTGATGTTTTGACGTCAGAATTGACACTCTGGCTGGGCGCCTCGCACGGATGCCTGGTCTGTCATACAGGCCCTGAAACAAATATATCCAATACAGCCCAAGTCTATAATGTTTGGCAAGTCTAGATAACTGCAGTATCAGGCTGAAAATGAAGAAAATCTCCTTTTTATTATATTTTATAAATATAATTTAACAACTGTTTTTTCTGTAAAATATGTTCATTTCAGAGACTAGATGTTAGTCTAACGGATGCCGTAAATACTTATATGTTGAGTTATTCCGGGATGAGCCGAATAGCGACTCGTGCCCCTCTCGTGGCCATTCTGACGACTGGGTTCCGTATGAGCGCGAACGGGTATAGCCAAAAGAATTGTCAACTTGTTAATTCCCCAATACGTCATATATATTTCAGATGCTATTTAAAACACACCGGGTCTTATGAAATTATACAGTATGATCTAACCTATTTAACTGTATCTTGGGTATTTGTTTTAGATGCAAGACATATGTAAGATAGACACAATTTTTATGGATAACAACTTCTTTAATACCGTGAAAAGCGACGTTTCGGTATAGATCCTTATACCGTTGTCAAGCAAGACTGAATGAGGGACATAGTGCAGAATAAGACTGAATGAGGGACATAGTGCAGAATACCGCTTTTCACGGTATTAAAGAAGTTGTTATCCATAAAAATTGTGTCTATCTTGTCATCCGCCAACTTCTAAGTAATGCCTATCAAACAAAGAAATATGTAAAATAAATATTTATTCCCGAGGGATTCTTTGACCGAAGTACTTGAAGTCATACACGCATTCTGACTGGTTTGTC